TAAGAATCTAATATGACAGCACTTTAAGTACCATCACCACAGACTCTCTGCCAGCATTCAAGGTTGTTCCTGTTAATACAGACAAATAGCAGCTCCATTGTGCTGCTTTGAAAGTGTTTTTTTTTTTCATTTTTTCATTTTTTAGTTATCTTCAAAAATCCACAAAGACACACTGGTTTGTTTTGTGCCAGCCAGGCGCTAGATTGACACATTTCTCTGAAGTGAAGCACGCATTAAAAGGGATAAATAGTTAAAGAGCCTGACCCACTGTGTAATCTTTGTGTGTGTTGAGCGACTGTAAGGTGCCGTGAAGAGCACACAAAACAAAACAAACACACACACATGTGCACACTGAGAAACCAACACATCCTCACTTGTCGTGCTTTCACCTACACTGCAGTGCCAGAGCAGATGGTGTGTGCAACCCTGGGTTCACTTCCTGAAACAAAAAAGAAACACAGGCAGAGAGGGAGAGAGAGGGAGCGCTATCTCGTCCCATACTGTCCGTCTCAGAGCATTACTGTCAGCAGAAGACAATACAGCACAGAATGATTAGCACGCACACACTGGTGTTGTGTCTCGTTGTCCCTCTCTGTCTCTATTCGTTTTCATCTCTCTCCTCTTCCCTCTCCATCTTCTCGCTCATTGTTCCTATACAGCAGCGAGTAGAAACTCTAGCCCATCCGCATCTATTGTCAGAAGTAATTTTCACCATCCTCTGCCTACTGAACATTTAATGACAAATTGACAGGAAGACTGTGCTGGCATATGGTTTGCGACCCTATAGAGGGAACTGTGTATAGGAAAGTGTGAACAGATGTGATTTGTGAAGCGTATGCATGTGTTAGGGTTTATTTACTGTATATCTTAATCCGCAGAATGAATCAAATTTGACTACGAAACCCCTAAAGTCACCAAAACGAATGTGTGCAGCTCCAATCTCGTTCTTATCATTATCCAGGCTTTACATGCATTGACTAGTATCTGTATGATGTCAATACTTACTGTAAATATTCCTTATCGCTGCCTGACATGTGTGGCGACAAACATATGAGTAGTGTTATAAAATCCTGGCACGCAAGCCAACACCCTCGTGTCATCCCTGTGAGCTAAAGGTGGGCGATGTGATAATCTTCACCATGGATGATTGTAATTTGGCATATGATCTTTTTTTCAGAGGAATCGTGCAGACGGTGCCACTAAATAAATAAATAACAGCACTGTCTAAACTTTTCTACTCGACATGAACTAAGTAAAAGTGTGACTGGTTGTGACACATTTAGGACAAGCTCATTGAACTCACTAAGCACTTTGGAGGTGTAACAGATAGGCTGCTTGTGTAGTTTGGAAATGATTTCTCCTGATCAGATGTTCAGCAATTTAAGGTTATCTGCAAAAGGAAGGTTGGAGGTAGTGACGACAGCTATTGAAAACGGCAAGAGAATGTATGATTGTCCTTCTACTTTGTATCGAGCTGGTTCATTTGAGAGTCAAACAATACGTTGTTGATTTGTCTGTGGAGTTTGACTGAACATGGCACATACAAGAGATCTTCAGTCGCACTTCTAGTATTGCAGAGAATGGGAGGAGAGCAAATAGCTCAACACATAAATGTGTCTTTTTTCCACTTGTATTGTCATTTCAAAACATACACTTAGGCTTCGTGTTGTCTCTGAGTACGACTGTGCCAACTCAAACTACCCAGTCATGACTTGACAGTCCATCGTGGTCCCAACTTAGAATATCGCTCATGGGATAATTCAAGCCATACAGCCACTTCTTAAATAAATCAACAAGAGCCAAGAAAAATTCTAAATTATTCATTCATTGGTTGTAACTAGCCTACATTTCAAAAGAGGTAGGAAATATTATGATTCAGATTGTGGATCGTGATTCTATCCCAAAAGATCATCATCTAAGGCTTTAGCCAAATTGTTCATCCCTGTTGTGAGTCTGCATGTCGCTTGATATACAGTGTCCCTACAGCATTTAATGACAGTTCAACATATGTTAAACTGGCATAAAATATATTTTTTTAAATTTCCTACAGCAATATATTCTGAAACATCTTAGCACTCACACATTTACACTGCGCTTTATCTCTGCTATCCATGAAATCAGTGATAAAGTGGAGCAGTGCCATGGTTCCAGTTTCAATGTTCATCTTTCGTCATGACGGTGCTGTGTATAACAACCTTTTGCACAAGAATCTGTGACAGAAAAATAATTTGAAGTGGCCGTAATTACAGGCACCACAGCACTGTCAGGACCATTTCCAGCTACGTCTATTTTTAAGGCGGATCAATCAATACTCAGTCACACCCTGTCAGGAGGCTGTCATGAGATTTCACTTACAGACATGAGCCCGTCCATCACTGACCCTCACAAATCTTAGTTTGAGCATCTAGAGACAAAACCAGTGTGGTGAAACAGCACTGGCAGGGGGCTATCAATAAAGATGCAAATTCAAAAATGTCCACTACTTGTTCATTCAGAACTCTGAGATGTGTTTTCTGTGCTCCTTTACGGCTCTGTGAAGTAGAAAGCCAGACCACTGGATGCCTCGAGCTCTTCAACGCTGAGTCAAGTTGTTCTTAACACTAAGTTGTTGTTAACAAGACAATTTCCTTTTAATCAATGTCACTGGAGCTCTGCATGTGTGTTTGCTGCCTTCACAATTTTGACGTGTGGGCTCCAACGCAGAGCTACATGGCACCGAGCCACACGCTGTACACTGCTAACCCTGCTCCCTGCTCCCATTACTGGTCAAGCAGTATCATAACCCACTTACATTACACATTGTCTAGACTACTTCAGAGTCTAGACAACTTGTAATGTAAGTCCAGTCTTAAACAATGTCATAATTGTCCTCACCAGAGTGTCCAAGATAAAAATCATAATAGGCTACTTGATAAATTCTAACAAAGTTAAAAAGGTTCCACAGGCTTATTCCGCTCGGGTGCAATGTCCAATCATTATGGAAGGCACGTTAGATATATTCTGCTGGTATTCAGCTTATCACTGGGTCCTCTGCTACCCTTGTCAACAATTAAGGAGTCAAGAACACTTAAACTCCATTTATAGCACAAAGCACACACTGCAGTAGAGTGGGAATACTAAGAACTGCTTCACTGTTTCACACCTTTTATCCAGGTTAAAAATCAAAACCACATGAAAAGGGGAGAAAAAGTAATTCAGGCATTTTTTGACAGTGAATGAAATTTTCATTTGCCTGCAAGTCTTGCAGTAATTCGACACCCTTTTTGAGAAAATTCGTGACATGAGAAGTAGACACATTTTATCATTTGCTTTAGATTTGGCATCATCCGTCACACTTGGAAATCCTATTACGAACCCTAAAATGTACCTACTGGAGCAAAACTGCTGCCAGATTGAGGTCTGATAGAGTCTGCTTTGACACTGAAAAGAGCTCTTTAAAGTGTCTTTGTTTAATAGAATATTAACTCCATCACAAATAGTTAGCGCAACCTTCAGCCTGCGATCTGTCACTATCTCAGGCACACGCAAAAACCTGAGTATTCACAGACACTCTGACACACGCTCGCCCCAGTCTGATTTCATGGTGATCCGCAAAGCTCGGAAAGAAAGTAATGGCACCATATTTTACGTAAGATTCCCGGCTCGAGGCTATGAGAGTCAAACACACAAGTCAGCTGAGCAATAGCACTGCTGAGGTCAAATCCAACTCAGACGCTCTGCCCACACTGCAGAGCTGTCTCACCGAACTGCACAGAGAGGCAGAGAGAAGAGAGAGAGAGAGAAAGAGGTAGAAAAGTGTTTAGGTGTGTGGGAGAGAAGCAGAAGCAGAAGAGTGATGTCCATTCATAGCATGTGAAAACAGTAGAATTTGAGTATTTGTGAGGAAGACAGTGTTTAAAAATCTGAGCGGAGCATTGAGTATCGATGAGGAGAAGGACAGAACAGACAACGAACCTGCAGGAGCTGTCAGTAAACTCTCCCCACACAGCGGACAGCATTTATTCAGAAATCCTGTCAGGTTTTTTCTTGTGGCATCCAGTTTGAATGAGCAGCAACTGCATGATTTACTGATCAGTCTGGAGGCTGCGGATCAGATTTGAAATGTGTAGCGCAAGCTCACGGACAACAGAGAACAGACTTGGCAGAAGGCGCTTCAGATGGTGCTGGCAAGCACGGATTTATGAAATGACACAATATGATTCCAACAAAAGGCACATGAGCAGAGATTTTAGGGCAGAAATGGAGCAGGGGGTGGGGAGAGGGGAGATGCAGCTACATTTCTGTGAGTCAGGAGATTATCAACAAGATTAAAATCTGTTTCCTTTTTCATATTTTAAAAAGCATCCAATTCCATTTGTTAAAACATAATCAAAGCCAGAGAAGAAGGTTGAAATTTGTCAGGATCTTAATTAAAATGTTTTTTCAGATATTGATATTCACCACATAATAGGATTTCACTTTTAATGCTGCTAAGATTGATTTGCTGGCATTGCAACACATTAGCTCTTCACACATGCAAAACAAAAACTTACAGAAGTAATGTTGAATGACTAATTTGGACAGAAAAACTTTTCTAAAAGACAATATATTATGTCAACATAACAGTCCAATCAAACTGATATGTAGGCATTTGAATTATTACCAAAGCACCAATAAAACACTTTTTGTAGGTGGAGTGTCCTTGTTTGAAAGATTGTCTGTGCAATCTAATCTCCTGAAAACTTTTCACCTCCAAAGAAAAAAAGCAGTCAAAGCGTCAAACATGTGAATGTGGACAACTGGTTCTTGAAAACTGACCAGTATAATAAAATAATAATGAAGATGTAGAGATGGGGAGGATCAAAAAATCAGGTGTAGCACAGCAGCACATACAAATGTGAAAAGAGAATACTCCCTAATAAACCGGACAAACTGCTTTTCCAGTGAACTTTTCTCTTGAGTTACTAAACTCGGCACATTATTCACACACACTTTCCTCACTCGGACACACACACACACACCTGTACTTCATGCCCGTGTGTTTCCCCGTGGACTCCTTCAGTGAGATGTGCCGTGGAGTGAAGGAGCCGAAGCTGCGCGCAATGATGGCCACGGTGCGGAACTTGGCCCGGGCTTGGTTCACCACGTTGGGGCTGGTGGCGCTCTGCTTGCTGTGGTCTCCATTCCCTCTCTTCAGGTTGTGGTCCGTACAGGCGATGGACACCTGCATGGCTGCGCTTCAGTTTGTGGAGCAGAGGAGAAGAAAACTACAGATGGCACAGGAAACAGTAAAGTCTCAAACTGTGGGTTTTTTTTTCTCTTGATTCTCGTCCTCTTCTGCTCAGGGTCTGTGTTTAGATTCTCTCGCTTCTTCTGAAGTGCTTTTTCTCTCTCCTTGTAAATGGATTAAGTCTTCAGTCGCTCACTTCCAAGTGCTGCGTCTCCATGTGTATCACTTTGTTCCGTGCAGCAAAATAAACCTGCAAAAAGCTTTTTCCTCTTTTCTTTTTCTGTGCTCACATCAGGTCTTCCATTTTAAGTATTTCCTTGCAGAAGAGAGGCAGCAGAACAGAACAGGTCAATCATCAAAAGCCTCCAAGAACAAAGACTCCTCAGCTCTTTGAGGGATCCCCAATTTATTCCCCAACTGGTTTTTCCTTCTCCTTTCTCTCTCTTTGCCTCTGATGCGGAGCTTCTTCTTCTTTTTTTTTTTCTCTGAGTTTTTGCTGTGGAGTGTGACTCTGAGGGGGTGTGGAGAGAGGGGGAGAGAGAGAGAGTGCAGAGGGATGGAAAGAGGAGCCAGAGAGAAACGGAGATGCGACCCAGGCGCTGCGCTCTCCCCGGTCTGACTGTGGGAAGAGAGAGCGAGCGGCAGCCTGTATGAGAGCGAGAGAGAGAGAGAGAGAGAGATGGGGGAGAGGAGGGTGAGGGAGGAGGGGACAGGGTCAGGGAACGGATAAGGAGACAGGGCACAGAGCGAGGAGGAGGAAACAAAAGGGGGAAGTCACTCTCAGGTCCTGGAAGGGTGCGCCATCACACTTGTGCCATCAGCACTTTTTCCAGTCTTGTCACTTCTCCTGCCTCCTCTCCAGCCTCCTCAGCGCTCCCTAGGTCCCGCCTGCCGATCTTAATGTGTGTCACTAATGTGCTTGTGCCCCAGTTTCCTCCCCTCTTCCTCCCCCCCTCTCTCTCTTCCTCTCTGGCTCCCTTTTCTCTCTCTCTCTCTCTCTCTCTCACGGTATTTCTTCTCTATCCGATGTTTTTGACGCTCTTCTGTCTTTTTGCTTCTTCTTCTTCTTCCTGTTGTTTTTGTTTTTCTCAGCAGGGCAGCTCCAGCACCGACAGCGCACCTTCAGGGAACTGGGAGGGATGTAATGCAGCTCACAGCTCTCTCTCTCTCTCTCTCTCTCTCTCTCTCCCTCTCTCTCTCCCTCTCTCTCTCCCTCCCACTCGCTCCGTGACGCTCTCTCCTCTACCTGTCTCCATCTCACCTGTCACATCTTTGAACGCTCCTTCCTCTCCTTTCCTCACCTGTAATGGCCATACAACAAAGCCTGTTGCCTTTTATTCCCTCTGCACTTCACACAGCCATCTCTCTATAGTATTCTTTTTATTCTTTTTCCCCCCTTCTTGTGTCTTTTATCGTTTGTTTGTTTTCTGGACTAAAGGCAGTAACAGTTCTAACAGCAGCAGTAATCGTTGGCCATATGTCCTGCAGCAGACTAAATCCTGCCTCTAGGACTGTACTGAATGTTAACAACTCACAGAACACCAAAAAGTGGGAAATTTTAGTTCATATTATTATTACTATTAGAATTTGTATATTGAATTTATACTATATCATCCCGCACTTACTGTGCAAACTATACTATATAATGGAATAAAATATTCCAACACCAAAGAAAAATACTGTAAAATATGTATGTAATAGTGTAAAATAATGCCATTGAATAAAGTAACTCTTCTGAAGTAAAGTATGTTTTCAAACCTAGATAGATAGATAGATAGATAGATAGATAGATAGATAGATAGTAGATAGATAGATAGATAGATAGATAGATAGATAGATAGATAGATAGATAGAACTTCAGTTTCTTCTACTTGTCACGAGTTGTATCAAATAAACTTAAATTGAATTTCAAGTTTAACTTAAAAACTTAATCTACTAAATAAAATTAAAGTCTTTGTAAAAATATAATAAATTCAAATTTTATTTTTAAAAAAACTAATTTTCTAGTTATTGACCATTAAAAACTGCTAATGTTATTTCACATTAGACAAATGAATTCACAGTCTATTTTTGTCATTTTATTAATATTTTTTGTGTATTTCAAAAATATGGAATACAAATGTGTACAATAAAAAGGAAAAATTCCATTGAACTACAGATTTTCTTTATACAGTGTACTGTATATCCAAGTCAGACACAAGTATTTGCTGATGTCCCTCAAATCCCCGAACACACTGTACATACAACCCCCAGAGGCGGCTACAAATCAAAGCAAACGAGAGGAGGATGGATGGATGGACAAGGTGGGGGAGGTGTGGGGAGATTGGAATCGGGAGAAAGACTTAAAAACAACAGGCTGAGACGTAACGGAGCTGAGGGAAGAGGGAATTAATGCATCTGTGTGTGTTTGATTACTGCACATCCACGTGTGTGTGCCTGTATGTCAGCGGCTATGTGTGCATAGATGTGTGTGTAGTGTGTCTGCAGGGTAAGGTGATAATGCTGTGCGCTTTCCAGTATTTCTATAAGGGGTGTCAAGCGGAGGTAAATGGAGCGTTTTGCTGCAGGGCTTCTCAGAGCTCTTTTATTTTTCTGTTTGTGAGTCTACGTACACACAGACACACACACAAATACTCACACACAGTAGATGAGCCCATGTGGTGGAAATGTCAGCACTGCAGTGTTTAAACATGCAAATGTCTGGACAGCATAGAAAGGCCATATCAGTATCTGGTCTCAACAAATCCACAAAAACAAATATAAATACAGTGTTTATTATCGTATTCTTACACCTACAGGTTTGGTTAGCCTGTGTGGTTAATGTATTGTCAGCAGATGCTTTAACTGTAACAGCTGACACATGTAAATCTCAGATGTTAACACATGCAAAAAGACGGTTCCAATAGCAATCTACAAGCAAGAGGATGTGATTGTCAATGCCATGGAAATGTCACGCTAATCCCATTGTTATCAGCCTGATTCATCTTTCAACACCGGCATGTAAACTGGAGGAGGACGGCACAGAGCCAAGGACATAGAAATAACTGTACAGCATACTGCCGTAATGGAAAAAAATAAATAAGCATATGATCTCCTCAACACTTCACACAGCAGGATTACCAGGAGCCAAATTAACTGTTAGAACAACTGTAAGATGAGTGCCTAGCATTATCTTATTTAAAAATGCCGGTTTAGTGGCTACATTTCAGTACAATTACCAGAACAATACTACAATACCTTACTTTGAAGGACATGCTCTGATCCAGAATTCTTTTTTCATCTTTTTTTTATTTTTTATTTTTTATTGACAGTAAGTTGGCTCTCTGTGGAAATATCTCAATAGCTAAAAGATGGATTGGCTAGAGGATTCATTTTAACGAGCTCTTTCTAAAGTTGGCATTAATGATCTGGAGCAAATTAAACAATGGGTTTCCATAATGTTGGTGCACACATTCAACTTTGATGATGCTTTAGCTGTTTAACCTGGGGCCAACATCAATTCAAAGTTTTAACTGGTCTGTAAAACTAATGGCTTTCCCATCAGAATTGGTCTTTTGTATTTAATGCGAAGTAGCAAATTTTAAATGCCCCCTCTGGTGTTAATATTTCCATATGGTGCCTTTTTATATGCTAAAATGCCATGGCTGAGCATTTCCACCTTAAAATGGCATTGTACCAATGATAATCTCTAAAACACAAATTAGAACTTCTGGTTGTTTATAGCAAGTCTATCTCTCCAATCTTGTCAGTTTACCAGGTAGAGCTTACTATAACAATATTATTTTCATTGTTGGTGTCCTGTTTGAACATTTATTGCCAATATT